AGTTTCATCTAACCACAGAGACGTCACTTAGGTAAGAGCCGGAGTGATGAACAAAGTGCCGCATGGTTTTGCAAACCTATTTCGTCTTGCGACATTCGTTCTTAGTGAGTATTATCATTTTTATTATCATTTTATTAGGAGTGGAGACAGTTGCTATTTCTAAGAAAGTGCATATTTAGACCTAAATACTATTACCTTCATCCAATTCTATCAATTTTATTCGGGCAACTGCACTATACTCTTGTCTGTAAAATTCCTGCAATACATAACTAAAAAAAGAGATGTGCTATTATATTGGGAAAACCCGTCCTTGTTTTTAGATCAGCACTAAAACTTAGAAATCAATTGAGGCTTAACGAATCAGACATGCCGCCAAAATGAACATTTTGTGATCATGATGGTAACGGAATAGCCAACCAAAGCTACGGTATATCTCATCAAAAACAGCTTTTTAGTGTCTAAATTCCCTAATAATAAGCGTTGTCGTTGTACTTCATTGTTTATTAATACGAATGAGCGTACGAAGAAGAAGAATTTTGTAACAAAGGGAAAGATGGAACACCGCCGTCTTGATAATTTTTTTCGAATCTACTTGGTTGATCGCTTTCACCGTTTCGCGCGACGTGACAGGGTCTTCAAACTAATTATAGTTTTCAATATTTAGATTGACTTGAAACAAGCGATCACATGCATAATAGAAATTAGAAAATTGGCCTTAGGATTATATGGTGAAAATTCTTCAAGCAGTTGATATGAATCTCCATTTGTTTTCTGAGAATATTTATAAATTATGGAACAGCGCCGTCAACTGCAACCACATCTTTTGGATATAGGCTTAGGTTGAGCTTAAAGACAAAATCGTTATGAAGAAAAAGGAAAAAGGAAATAAAAAAAAGGAAAATAAAGATATTCTACTTTTCCATGGATATCAAAGCAACAAAAAGAAAAAACTGCAGATTGAAGTCAATTTGCTATTCAAATATGCGGATCTGGGTAATTTTAAATTTCATTTGAAGCCAAGATGACAAGCATATTGGATATGAATGAAACATTAGAATTTGCAAACACTTTTTGATCGACGCCACAGCTACTTGCCAGATAAACAATTTAAGTCTTTTTATAGGCTAGGATTTAGTCCAAAACAGATTTCAATTTTTGAATTGTAATTCTACGATAATTTCTCGAAATAGTATATGTGCAAGTATTGGACATGTATATATTTCAGTTGTATTAATTCTGATGAACATGTTTAAAGAAGTAATTGTTATTCGATATTCACCGCAACCTGAAAAACACCTATGAACCAAGTCCATAGCAGTTTCCTCGATCATTTATGTAACAAAGCAGTAGAAAGTAAGCTCCAAATAAAGTCTCTGCACTGAACAACACGTTTTGAGTACCTCGCTGGCTGCAGGTTTATTTTTTCATCATCACTTCTAAATCAGACCAAGTGCTCTACACAACTGCTTTATTGGAATACCATTAACTTAATTATGTACAATGATGATCACGTGACCACGGTCCGGAGTGCCAACCAATAAGATTCAGATTTTCTAAGAGCTGAAGTATTCATCCAATTAAGAAAAACACTATGCTTATTATTTTCATTATTACCATTATTACCATCATCATT